CAGGATAAGACTATGGGAGTTCAGCAGCTAGATCCCGTTCAAGTAGATGAAGCACCTCAGCAGCTGCAGGAAGAGTGGGAATACACTATTGCTAGAGATCGGTCTAGACGAGATATCCAACCACCTCGAAGATATGAAGACACGGTAGCTTATGCATTGTCAGTTGATAATTTTGTGCCCTTCAGCCATTTAGGAGCTACTTCAGGTGATGACTTCGCTAATATTTACGGTCGTCGTGCAGACAATTCAGTCGATTTGTTGAGGATGTCTCTTTCAGTTAGTAAGTTCAAGCCGAGTTTAGACTTGATCGATACATGCCGCACTTAGATGTCCTGCAGGGCTATTGGAGAATGTGGAGTAAGTTAGCTTATTTGGAGTGAGGAATTTTCTACGCATTTGAGTCAATGTGGAGATTTGTTATAGGTTGTCTCAAATACTCAAATCCATATTGCTTTGGAGTTCCTTTTTTCGCTTGGTTTGTTTTGATCAAGAGTTCAACTTACATTAGACTTTGCACAACTAATCATATTAGAGGTTTATTCCTACTTGGACTCTTGTTGGGTTTTAGGACATGTGAACTTTTATTCATATTAGAACTTTTATTGCTTAGACAGCAAGGAGCTGAGATCTTCAATGCTATATAAGAACAGTCTTTCAAGCCAATTAGATACATTAATCTTCAGAGCACCAATCAAGAAGAGAGAGTTCTTTTGTGAAGCCTATTTGATATTCTTCTCTTTTGATCCTTTAGTTGAGAGTTGTATTAGGCTTTTGGGGTGTTATTTGGGATTGAGAGATTAAGAGATTGAGAGATTCCACTTTGCATTCCTCACAATTAGTAAAGTTTTTCTTCTCATTCGCCCGTGGACGTAGACTACAAGCCAAACCATGTATATCTTTGTGTTCGTGTGTTCTTGATTTTTTTTCGTGCTCTTGTGTGATTGATATTAGCTATTATCCTGGGGAATTTGTCATAACATAAATTGAATTGGACCTTTCTTGTAGGTAAAAATGCACTTTTCAGGTTTCCAGAGGTAAAATCAAGATTCAAGAGGAAGTTCTAAATTCCAGCCTCAGAAAATGATAGGATTACATTATTTTTTTTGGCACAAATCCCCACGGGCTGTTACTCTCTTGAGCACCACTTGCAAGAAACGAAGCTAGTCCATCCAATAGAACTTTCAGTACCTTGTCCAAAATTCTGTGTACTGATGATCTTCAAAGTTGCAAGCTGGAATGATGTGGTCTTATCTTATGATGAAGTAGCATCCAATGCACGCATATGCTACCATGTGAAGAGAGAAAAAATTGATAGTTACCTACAGATTCCACTTGCAAAAGAAAGAAAAACCAAGGAAAATGTTTAACAAACTGCGAGTAGAGTATCTCTAGTAAGGATGAGACTGTATCTAGCCACCAACTAAATTCTATGGCGATAATCAACTGGGGGCATAAAGAATGAGTAAATTTTGTCCAGATGCTAAAATCTTGATAAGGTACTGCAATCCCATATATATGAACCAGCCATGAAAGAATCCTTGAGATCTTTTGCTTACAAATTAAATGCGTTCATTTTGTCTGCCGACCGAAGAAATCGCAAAGTCATATTCGACTCTGGAATTATGCGCGAACTTAAGCGCTGATATAATTGAAAAACAAACCAAGTGGCGCCCTTTTTCCCTTCTGTTATTTTGTTTGCTAATGCCGACTCTTTAAATAAAGACATGGACTCGATGGTCAATTTGGACCAGGTTTTAAAAAAGCACCTAAATATGAAGATCTTGAATCTACTGGTTTCTCATGGATTCATTTTATTTCTGTTCATTTTAGCTGTTCAAGTTGCTTGGTTGCATCTAGATTCTCTCTCTTTGTTTGAGTACAGCTAGTTTACATGCCAGAAAGCCTATTTTGTTGCCTAACACCACTTGCATAATATACAGACTCACTTCAACATGGAACCAGAATACAGGCAAAGTTAGGTTGAACAGCTAATACTATATTATCTAATATCTAGGATATCTAGGATTAGCTAGAGCTAAAACTTTATAATAGTCATATATAGTTTCTTATCTGTACAGTCGTTTGATTTCTTGAAGTGAGAGCTGCTAAAGTTCTTCTCTGACCTTCTTAGATTATTAATATAGATTAATGTGGAAGTCAGCATCACCAAAAAGGTTAACAATCACAAAAGATATTTCGTTTTCCTTACAAGGTATCATATGTGTCTCTCTTTCTGTTTAATCTAACCTGTAACGTTTTTCCCCCTGAAACAGTAACATCATCAAAGAAGAGAAAACTTTGCACGCATGCAATTCATAATAACCATGGAGTACAGTCAATTCCAAAGGTTTATTCAAGATTTGAAATTAATAAATAACAAATATTAATAAAGAAGATATGCAATCCTTACAAGAAGATGAAAATTTTCTGCCCAGATTCTGCCCAAAACTCTTAAGCCTGAAGGCAATAATCTAAAAACTGGCTAATTCCAAAATCTCTGTTCATAATATATAAGGTAAAGAAAACAAATAATAATTCTAACTAAATGTTTAACTGCAGTCTTATTCAGTCCCTTGGAAAGAAGAACATACTGTCTAACATCTGGATTTTGACTCATCAACTGACGCTGAAATGACATTCATTAAAGCCTGTGAAAGAAAATACAGTTAATTTCCACATTATTGATAGTGAAAAACTTAGTAAAAGATAATTCATTAAACTTACTTGGATCTTTGGTGATGAGCATTGCAGTCCCTCCAAAATCACAAGTCCCTCCTGCAACTTTAGTCCTCTGCCAATAACTATTGAATGCAAAAGAAGCATGGGCTATCAAAGTATCGGGCTGATAGCATTGCCCATTGGGCTGGATTGCATCGCAATTTGCGCCTGACGCACAAGCATAATTCATTGCCTCCTGAATTATCGGGTCAGGTACGGTGGGCTTCGCAACGCACCACAAGCCCATCCCAGTAGTGCCCGCAACATGTGGCGGAGGAGGAACAGTTGGTGGTGGATAAACTATGGGAGGTAAAAAGATCGGTGGGCCCGGGGAAAATATGGGAGGCCCAGGGTAATATGCTGGTGGGCTTGGCCCAAAGCCTGGTGGGCTTGGCTCTAGGCCCGGTGGGCTTGGCTCGAAGTTTGGTGGGCTAGGCTCTAGGCCTGGTGGGCTCGGAGTGGGAAATTCAGGCGGATTCGGGGTGAAGATTGGAGGAGAAATGTAGGATGATGGAGATGGTGGGGATTGAGATGGTAAATTAGGAGTGAAAATTGGAGGATAAATGTAGGATGATGGAGACGGCGGAGATTGAGATGGTAAATTAGGAGTGAAAATTGGAGGATAAATGTAGGATGATGGAGATGGCGGAGATTGGGACGGTAAATTGGGAGAAGGTAAAGATGATGAAGGCGGTGGAGATCGAATTGGTAGAATTGGGCTTGGTATTGTTGTGGAGGGTGGGAATGGAGTTAGAGGGGGGTAAATGCAATAAGGTGGATTTTGATCTAGAGGAGAGGAAGAAGGGCCCATTACATCTTCATATGGGCGTAAGTAGTAAGGTGAGCCCACATAGTTACTATTTGGGTCTGATGTAGAATAATACGTCACCAAGTGTTGCTTCACTGCCTTCGTTTGTGGACCTTTTGGATGATTCAAAGATTTCCTAGCCTCTGCTGAACAAATTATATCATAATTAGAGAGGCTAGATGAAGTTGTAGCAATTTGAGTTAAGTAAGGAATGAAGCATATACTTACCACAACTAGCAAAGAAACTTGTTGCATAGAAGAAGTAGAATAACATTAAGAGTATCCCCAAGCAATCAAATCTTTGCTCCATGATAGAAGCTAAACTTGAGAAGACTACTTGTGGGTTTGTGAAGTACCTGCAAACAAATGAGTTATTATAAGGAGCAATGTGGGCAGCAATAAAGCTGAGGAGAGCACCTAGCTTTAATGCTCATTCTCATTTTATGCATCTTACTTTTATTTTTTCTCTGCTTTACATGAAGAAAATTGTTAGAAATTGAGCAAAAGTTTGAGCATGGGGATTTGTTTAGAGGTTGTTGAGATTCTCGGTTTGTTACACTCATTGGCTTGTTTTAGGTTTTACATATTGATTTCTTATATTTTAATTTTGGTATATGTGCTTGCTTGATGTAAGAGGGTTTATAAAGAAAGGGTGATTGGGTCGCTTTTTTGTTTTGCTTGCCTCCCACTCAAGGGAATTATTGATAAATTCTAGCCCTAGATGAGAATTTTGGTTGGTGACCCACTTACAGAGTTTGCTTCATCCATTTAAGATATCAGTCTTGTACTTCCTATAAACTTTTGTAGCCCTTTCAGCGTGTTTCAGTTTTACTTCGGCCTTTCATCCGCCCCTTCCTTTTGGTACTTCTCTGTATCTCTTCTCATTTAGCATTGAATTTTGGATATCACGCTTATGGACGCATAATATGAAAACCCTGCGTTTGTTCCAAATTTTAACTTTTGGGCTTGGGCTTCATTATTTGCTTCTTGTTCGTGTACTCGTGTGTTGCCTTCTATATTGGATCCTGTCTCTATTTATGTCGCCTCTGTTATCTGCTGATAAATTGGGCTTTCTTTGAGGCCCAAGCCTTGGTCGATGAGCGGGTCTGGATAAACTTGAGGCTCAGTTCTAGGTTTTACGTAACACAGCGCTATTTACCTATTGAGAAAACAAGATGTACTCTTTATCGAACTAAACAACTCTAGACCACAGAAAGAACTACGATGAAAGCACGTCTTTGTGCTTGCTTATAAAGAAATTGTCAATATGTGAGGAGAGAAAATATTTGTTATCCAGCCAAAGGGCAATCAATCTATGACAAACATCACGTGTATTCAGTGAGGAACCATAGGGATTAACCATGTTAATTATATCTAATGAGTTTGTTTGGATGTCATTGTTTATTCAGTCTTGATCCTATTGATTTTTTCTTCCCAATAACCCAGTCTGTAATTAATCGAATCCAATGCCGTGGGAGTTATATTGAATCCTTCAAACCAATCAGATCACTCGTGGCGGATTTGGCTCTATTGAATTGATGGTGGTTTTTATTATCAGCGTAAAACTCTTATACTGCTTCTATACGAATACATGGAACATTCTATGCGAAGAACATTGTGGCTTTGTTTTTCCATACAAGCTAGTTTTTAAAATTTATAGAGATTACATTTCTCTACTGCTCCTTTCAAAAAGACGTAGTGGGGAAAAACTTTCTAGTTGTGTGAAAGTAACCAATCTACTCATAACTCTCCCAATTGTGAATAATATTTCCCAACTTTTTTCTAGCAACCAAATGTTCCTTTAATATTAAACTTAAAGTTACGGAACATGTAAACTTTCTTTAAAACACTGCAAGATAAATATATTGGAGGTCAGACTGGTGTCATATATAGAAAATCAACATGAACTTGTACGCTAGCATTATTATTGCACGTGCCAATGCACGTGGGACAAAAATTTAAACTTACATATTCTAATTTGTATATAAAAGGGTCACTTTAGTATCCTAAAATATCTTTGTAAGATCTTTTTATAATATATGTTGGTTTGATAGAGCATTTTATTTATGTTATTCAAAAATTGCTATGATATATATTTCAATTAGAGTGATGGTATCATTTTCCTAGATGATGAAGAGTCTGTTTTTTAATAATTTTATATTCATAATATTCTTTTTATTTATTTTAAAGATAAGTATTAGATATAAACATTCGATAATATTTTGCTCGACACATGTTGAAAAGCTAATTGTTTATTTTATTATATTCGGTTTCATCTTTTTTAGGAAAAGAAATTTATTAATTTTATATTATATCAGTTGGACAAAGTTTCTTTTAATAAAATAGATTAGGATGATTTTCTTACAAATTTTTACAGAATACACATTTTTATAGTTTACTACTTTTGTATTTAAAAGATTATAATTTAACCTAATTATCAAAATCTTAATTATAGAAACTTATTAGTAATGAGGTATTCATAATTTCAATTAGTTTTTGTTTATGTGTAACGACATATTGCAAATCATATTCTCTTAAGGGCTCAAACATAAAAAACGCGTGTAAAACTGTAAACATACCTATTAGTAAAATGAGACATGAGCGAATCGGTGCAAATAACTTTCTACGAAGGGTGTAGAAGTTAAAAAGATATGCTTTTTAGCCTTTACCGAAGAGTCTGCAAATAACGGAGTTTACCGATTTATCCCTCAAATCTTCAATAACGTTGCATAGATTGTATAGATAGATAGTATGGAAAGATAGTAACTTTGGTATTTTCCCCAGTAGATTGCATTCCAGTCCTCATTCAGCAGCAACTGATTCAAAATGGACTTCACCCAACTTCATCCCTTATCACATCCCCCGCTCCCATGTCCTCCTCCACTCTCCCCGTACTTCGACTCCTCCATCTCCACGTTCATCTCCATGCTCAACTCCTCCCTCATCCCCGACCACTTCGCCTTCCCTGCCGCCCTCAAATCCTCCGCTGGACTTCGCAACCTCCCCCTCGGCCGCCAGCTCCACGCCTCCCTCACAAAACACGGCTACCACTCAACCCCCATCACCGTCCCCAACACCCTCATCACAATGTATGCCAAGTGCGGTGACATCGATAGCGCGCTCAAAGCGTTCGAGAAAATGCCGCAACGAGACCAGGTTTCCTGGAACTCGCTCATTGCTGCACTGTGCATGTTTGAACGGTGGGGGAGCGCACTTGAAGCATTTCGGGCGATGCAGATGGAGGATGTGGAGCCGAGCTCGTTTACGTTGGTCAGCGTGGTGCTTGCTTGCTCGAATGTTGGGGAGTTTGGTGGAGTGAGACTGGGGAAGCAGGTTCACGGGTATGGGTTACGAGCGGGGTTTTATAGTGATGGGAAGACGTTTACTTATAACGCGTTGATCGCGATGTATGCAAAGTTGAAGAGGGTGGATTATTCGGTTGAGCTTTTCGACCGGTTTGATGGTCGTGATGTTGTTAGTTGGAATACGATGATTAGTTCTTTGGTGCAGAATGAACGAGGTTGGGAGGCGTTGAGGCTGTTGTATGATATGGTGGGTTGCGGGATTAAGCCTGATGGTGTTACTCTTTCAAGTGTGTTGCCTGCTTGCTCTCATGTGGAGATGTTGGAGGCTGGGAGAGAGATTCATGCATATGCAATTAGGAATGACGGGTTGATTGAGAATTCTTTTGTGGCAAGTGCATTGGTTGATATGTACTGTAATTTTGAGCAGGTCACAAAGGGAAGAAGGGTTTTTGAAGGAGTTTCTGAGCCTAGACTTGGATTGTGGAATGCTATGATATCTGGGTACAGTCAAAATGGGATTGACGAAGAGGCTTTGAAGTTGTTTGTTGAAATGGAGCTGCTCGCTGGATTAACTCCTAATGCAACCACATTGTCAAGCGTCCTTCCTGCTTGTGTGCGGTCTGATGCATTTGTTTGTAAAGAATCTATACATGGGTATGTCGTGAAGAGGAGTTTGGAGTGCGATAAGTATGTTCAGAATGCACTTATGGACATGTACTCTAGAGTCGGGAAAATTGAAGTTTCTCGAAGGGTTTTTGATACTATGGAGGCTAGAGATGTTGTTTCTTGGAACACAATAATCACTGGTTATGTGGTTTGTGGGTGTTATAGCGAAGCGTTCAATCTAACAAGTGAGATGCAAGGATTTGACTGTTGCAAACCTAACAATATCACTCTTATGACTCTTCTACCTGCTTGTGCCTCTCTGGCAGCATTAGGGAAGGGGAAGGAGATTCATGGTTATGCAATTCGTCACCATTTAGAGACAGATATTGCAGTTGGCAGCGCTTTAGTGGACATCTATGCAAAATGTGGCTCTTTAATCCAATCAAGAAGAGTTTTTGAGCGAATGCCTAAACGTAACGTGATAACTTGGAATGTTCTTATCATGGCTTATGGGATGAATGGGCTAGGAATGGAAGCTCTTGCATTACTAAAGGAAATGTTATCAGGAGAAGTGAAGCCTAATGAAGTAACATTTATTGCAGCTTTTGCTGCTTGTAGCCATTCTGGACTGGTCAACGAAGGGCTTGACCTTTTCTACAACATGAAAGAGAAGTACAATTTTGGACCAACTCCTGATCACTATGCTTGTGTAGTTGATTTGCTTGGTAGAGCCGGGCAATTGGATAAAGCATACAATCTTATTGAGTCAATGAACCCTGTTCTTCACCAGGCTGGAGCCTGGAGCAGCTTATTAGGTGCCTGCAGAATTTACCAAAATGTAGAGCTAGGAGAGGTTGCAGCTGACCATCTGTTCAAACTCGAGCCAGATGTTGCTAGCCATTATGTTCTCCTCTCAAACATTTATTCAGCAGCTGGGCTTTGGGAAAAGGCTAATGAAGTGAGAAAGAACATGAAGGAAAGCGGAGTTAGAAAAGAGCCAGGTTGCAGTTGGATTGAAGTTGGTGACAAAGTTCATCAGTTTATGGCTGCAGATTCAGTACATCCTCAGAGCCTGAAGTTACATAGATTTCTTGATAAGTTATGGGAGAGGATGGGGAAAGAAGGATATGTGCCCGACACTTCTTGTGTACTTCACAATGTGGATGAGGATGAGAAGGAGATGCTCCTTTGTGGTCATAGTGAGAAATTGGCTATTGCTTTTGGTATATTGAACACGCCGCCTGGCTCAACTATAAGAGTTGCGAAGAACCTTAGAGTTTGCAATGATTGTCATATGGCGACTAAGTTTATTTCAAAAATTGAAGGGAGGGAGATTATTCTTCGTGATGTGAGAAGGTTCCACCATTTTAAAGATGGGTCTTGTTCTTGTGGTGATTATTGGTGAGAACTAGGCTTTGAACAATCGGCTTTTGCTGGATACAGTCGTGAGGCAGTCAACTCTCATACTACAGAAAGATATAAATAATGTGTACCTAGTAAACATTATACTAGCTTATTTGTGCACAGCAAAAATCCCATTCAAATCATTGGACGGAGAATTCAATTATATGAGTTTCAGTAATCATTCTATATGTCGGTAGTCAATATTTCAATTATACAGAACCTTGTTTGAAGGTGAATGCCTCATCTTTGTGCTATATATATGGAATCTATAGAAAGAGAAAAGCAGGCAGGTTTTCTACCACTTTGTTGATTGCTTCATCAGCTTACTTCTCATACTTTTCATTGTTGTTTTATAATTTAAATCTCATATATTAGCCATCATTTAGCCAGTGCACTGTGAAACTGATGACAGCTCGAGGTTTCCCCCCCTTAGATAACTCAAGGTGTTATCTGTTTTATAAGTTACCTATTTACTTATTGCATGTTGTAATCCTGCCAGGTAAGATTTGTTAAGTCAATCCTGCGAGATAAAATTTTGTTAAGGCTTTATCTTAATTATAAGAAATCATCATGTTTTTAGCCTTTCCACTTTAGAGGATAACAACCAGAGGGTTCCTGTATTATGTGAAAGTGGTTCATAGCATGCCTTAGAAATTATAGTAGTAATACCTTATTGAGATTTGGAGTGCTCCAATATCAGATATTAGACTGCATGAAGTTATGATTGCACTTGAAAGTTACACAAAGGGGAAAATATCAGATTAATCATATAGCGGCTAACCTTGAAGACAAAAAGGAGTTTGAAACTCAAATAGTGTACCTATTCAAATTCAATTTGATTCAAAAAACAGAATCAAATCATTCTTCTCCTGATTTCATGGTAAGAAACCATGCTAAGCAAAAGAGAGGAAATGCAAGGATGGTGATTAACTATAAAAAAGTTAATAAAGCCACCAAATTTGATGGATTCATCATCCCTAATAGCGAATTGCTATTATACAGAATCCAAGATGCCAGATTGTTTAGTAAATTTAATACAAAATCAGGATTCTAGCAAATCAAAATAAAGGATGAAGAAAGCAAAAGGCTAATGGCATTCAGCTGTCCTAATGGAGGACATTATGAATAGAACATTATGCCATTTGGTCTCAAAAATGCTCCTCAAGTATTCCAGAAATGGATGAATAGTATTTTCGGGCATTTACTATTTGTTGTTGTCTACATATACGACATTTTTTGTTCTCAAAAACTAAGGAAGAATACAAAGAACACCTGATAGTGGTAGCATAGCTATTGCTCAATCATGATATTATTTTATCCCTAAAGCAGATAACTCTAATGAAAGAGGATATCGAATTTTTAAGGAAAAAAAATAAAAGTGGTCATGTTGAATTACAAGACCATATTATTATCAAGATCAAAGAGTTCAAAGACGACCTTAACTCTAAAAGATCTACAAAGCTGTTTGGGTTTATTAGATTATGGGAAAATGTATATACCCAATCTCTCTAAAAATATTTCTTCACTTCAGAATAAACTTAATGAAGAACAAAAGAAATACAAAAGCATAAACAATAAAGGTGTGAGTCGATGGGATATGAAAAAAATTAAAATCACACTCAATGATGAACAATTACAAGAAATTGTCAACATAAAAAAAGAAATAAAGAAATAAAAAATCCTTGATCAACCACAATCTGGAGATACATTGGTCATGCAGACTGATGCTTCAAATACACATTGGGCAGGAACCTTGCTTGCAATTCTGCCAAAACACCCGTGCTTCCAGTGAGTATTAGAGCCTGGTTCAATGACAAAGATAAACCAATTAGATTCCGAAATATGTGCATAGTGCTTTGAAAAATTTAAAGGACCAGAGAAAAATTACGCTACATATGATAATGAATTTTTAGCTATAAAGATACTATTAATTCCTTAAAACTATATTTATTATTATCCGAGTTTATTATTGAAATGGATAATCAAGCTGTTGCACATTTTCTCAAAAGGAAAATCATTTTTTTAATTGAGAAGAATGTGCACCGAATTAGATGGTCCGTGGAATTAGAGAACTATATTTATACTATTCGATATATTCCTAGATACACTAATATTGGTGCTGATTTCCTCTCCAGGCATGGCTAGCTCATCATCAGGAAAACAATCAGCGATAAAGGCCAAGACACCTATCACACCCCCCCCCCCCTCAAAATGCGGTAAAGAAAAAGGCGCGTTAAACATCAAAGAGACCCTTAACAAAAAGGAAGCAATTGATAGTGGCTTTGTTCCTATTAAAGGCAAGGCAAAGCGAGGGCAGAAGAAAAAACTTCTCAAAACAAGAAGCCTAATGCTCCCTAGGGACATGGAAAAAAGCCTCTTCAGTTTAAAGATATAGTAGTAGAAAACTAGTATAATATCAGTTTACCCAAAGAAGACTACACACCAATAAACAATCTCTAGAAGAAACTCTAAGAATTGAGAGTTTTCGCTCCAGACACTAATGCATGTTTATCAGCATTAGAAAAAACCATTAAGGAAAAGAATCGAAAGATTCAAGACCTTGAAAAAAGATACCACAGATGCAGAGACATCATAAAATATTTTATGAGTCAATCAATCTTGACTATGTCAACGGCACTGAAGACTTAGAACGAGCAAATGCAAGACTTTTTGGGCTCAATCTTAAGGGATGTGAGAACGATCCTAGAGGAAATTAAGATCAAAAACATACCAGTAACAAAATTTGTTATTTTTGTCGAACTAGTCAACTATTCCAAGTTTGATATTTTTAAATATCAGACACAATGAAAATTAAAATACATGTTTGACAGCTACCAGAGGAACCTGATTGATGATCAGACAATAGTCTCATTCTTCAAAAAACCGAAGAGGGATAAACTTGTTGTTCAAATCGGCCTCACAGATTATATTGAATCAATATGACCGCCCCCGGTACTAGCTAGCTTTGAGCTCATGCCCTTACACAAGGAACATATTAAAATGGCCTAGTACACAAACTATACCTGGATAAAACTATACCTGAAGAATGTAAGCCCTTCTGAAATTTGCACTCAGACACTTGAGGAAATAAGCAAATTTCAAAGAATTTTTGAGTTTACCATATAATCAATATGGGAAGAATATAATTTGTTTAATCCTATCCTTCTTAACAAAATCTGGAGGATAGACCCTTTAACAAGGAAACCTCAATTCTGGCATTTTCCATTCAATGAAAAAGAATATGATTTGGAAGAGGAAAAAGAAATGGCAGCAATTGAGTTCTTTGAAGCATTGCATTATAATAACGGGAAAAATGATAATCAAAGATCATGCTATTCTCTCTCTCTCTCTCTCTCTCTCTCTCTCTCTCTCTCTCTCTCTCATTTGGTCTTCAAAGAAAAATAATTGCAAGAAGAATTTGAAGAGACCATAGTCTTAGGACCAGTCGCCCGTTGCGCAAAGGAGCAATATAAATTAATGATGAGCGCAAGAGGAAGTACTTCTATAGAGAACTGTTTTTTTATCATTTGAGAGATGAAAAAAATCAAAGGTTTTGTAACTCTAGCTCTAACCCATGTTTCAATTGGGTAGTTTAATGTGTTAAATAGGATTAAATGTGATAGGAGTTATAGAATACAAAGGGACTTTGAAAACCCTAAGTAAATCAATCCCTCATAGCTTCATGCACACACACAAAAGAAAAAAGAAAAAGGAAAAAACAAAAATGAAGTGAGATCAGAGAGAGGAAGAAGAAGGCATGAATAGAGTTCATAGAGATTGAGTTTTCTTCTTTTCTTCTCTTAGATTGGTTTTTTCTAGGAACAATACCATTCTTGAAATTGTAGGTGCCCTGTAAGATGTGGGGCTTTTGTAGCTTGTTTATTAATTGTTAAAGTAAGAGAGAGAGAGAGAGAGAGAGGGAGAGAGAGAAAGGGGGGGAGAGAGAGTCTTGGATAAATTTCTCTTGAGTTGAATATTGAGTGCACACATATATTTATACAAGTAGAGGAGGGTGAGGTGTGTTCTCACAACCAATGTGGGAGTAAAACCCACTACAATACACTATTATCAACATGTTGTTTGATCCAATATGAGTTTGAGGGGGGTTGTTGATAATAGTGTATTGTAGTGGGTTTTAGTCTCTCATTGGTTGTGAGAACACACCTCACCCTCCTCTACTTGTATAAATATATATGTACACTCAATATTCAACTCAAGGAAAATTTACTCAAGACTCTCTCTCTCTGAAATTTACCCAAGACTCTCTCTCTTACTTTAACATTAATATATCTTTGGTAGGATTCCTCTTGGTCCTTGAAAGTTATGTAAGATGATTTCGCTGCTTAATTTCGAGGCTTTTTCGTGCCTTATAAGGCCTTATTCTTAGTTGCTTGTTAGTTTCTGGTAGCATTTGATTATGAGTCTACGTAAAGGAATGGGAATATAAGGCTCATATATATATATTGCTTGTTTTGTTCCAACTTTCATATAGTTAACTTATTTATTTATTTATTTAAATCATTTTCTTCACTATTCATACTATCTAGTTTCTTATATTCAAAATCTAGGATGTCTGAGATTTTTCAGGGTCTCTCATCGTGTCATCTAGTTTTGTATTTTGTAATATTTATATATATATATATATATTTGGTAACAATCCTCGCGAATTGAGGCTTGCTGTTGTTTCTTTGATTTTGTATTCTTCGGATATGTCATCCGCATTGGTACTTGTATTCCCGTCTAAATTCGAAGACAATATATATATCTTTCGGTGATTTCACAATCTGTTAACCTGATTACTCTAAAGCCTTGGTTAAGGATCTCGCTGGAGGTGGTGGCCCAGGTTGCCAAATCTTAATCAAACCCATTTGAGTTTAGGTGTAGACAAGTAACAGGTCTAAGGAAGAAGAAAAGGAAATTTATTGTCAGGCCCTAGAAATATGAAAAATTAGTTTTAGTAGAAAATCAAGCATCCTAGACAGAATTTTCCGTCTAGGATAGCTAGATTTTCGTCTAAATTGGTTATCCTAGACGGAATTCCGTCTAGGATGTTGGTCTAGTTTGTTGTTGTCTAGGATGCATTATCCTAGACGGAATTTCCGTCTAGGATAGTATCCTAGACGGAAATGTATCCTAGATGGAATAAAATACCGTCTAGAATAGCTCTAGAAGAAAAAAAACAACAGCCTAGGATTATCCTAGACGGAATTTTCCGTTTAGGTTGTATCCTAGACGGAAATTCCTTCCTAAACGGAAAATTCTGTCTAGGATACTACAATATTTTTTTTTGCAGAACCTACTTCGCACGACATATAATATCACATGTACACAATATAGCACAACACCAAATCATATTCATATTCAAATATTCAACACAACCTAATTATATTCCATAATTAAACTTAATTATATTCAAATAATACATTCACCAAAATACTAGAGCGATACATAAATTGTTGACATAGATCCAAAATACTTTGAAGCTTGTCCAATTGTGTGCTTACTTTCTCAATCTGCTTCTCCATTTCTGCCATCTAGAATAAGCAATGTATTGAACATGTAAGAAGAATATCAAAGACAATAATAAGACAAACAAGTTTACAAGTAATCTCTTTGTTACTTATCTCCCATTATTCCAATATCACTTGAAAAATAACTAACCTTTGTAATTGTATCCAACAAAGTTAGTATTGCCAATTAAAACCTACTAATACGCACATGTGATTATCATAAGATTTTTTCTCATTGTCCTATTTGTTACTTGTGGTATTTGTTAGTATTGCGAAGAGAGAGTAGTGCATAGTATTGGGCGTAGAGTCACGCCCTCACTCCACGGAAGTGATATAACCTGAGAGAAAGCCCTGATTTTTATTTTCACAAAAGCTCAAACCAATCTCTATATTCCCGTTTCACAAAGAAAACAAGAATAGAAAGTGAAATACCTCAACAAAGTGAGATATACACTCTTCCTCTCATCAGTTCTAGGATTGAATTGTCGAGAAAACCTACAAACAATAACCAACACTCAGAAAACAATAAAGACACGAGATTTACGTGGTTCGGCAAACTTGCCTATGTCCACGGGAGGGGTGAGGGGAAATTTTACTATGAGGAGAACACCGACGACTTGTATAATCCACAAGTTTGTCTCAAAAGAAGATGATTTGATTTTTACCCAAATTTTTTACATCTCTCTTGTAAAATCCCTCTAAAACTCTCTCATCAAAATCTCTCTTTTCTAGCCACCAAAAAACCCTTGTTTTCTTCTCTATAGCTAAAATAAAACCCTCTGCCATTTTTTTCATGCTAAAAACCCTAGCCGACATCAGATTTTATAAGAGAGCCTGGACCAAGTGGGCCGCACTCGCACCTGGGCCAAACCGCGCTTGCAGCTCCGCGCTCGTAGGTGTGACTCCCACGTTCACACATAGTAAATTTCTTTATAAAACCAAGTAATATAAATATACCACCATCTAATGGTTCACAATAAATCCTTTGAAGAATGCATAGGTTGGCATATGAATAAGTTAGCACGAATTTACCTTCAGGCGTCTAGATAGTTCATTCTCGTGTAGTAGATTTGCCTTCATTTTCTCAAGGAGAAGCTTTGTCAAGAAGAAATGACCTGTAACAAAATAAATCAAACCGTCTAATGTCAGTCATATACATCTAACTCAGAAATAAACAGTCCAAATTCAACAAGATTAACAAAAAAAAGAGAGTAATGTAAAATATTGAGATGATTTGTAGCAAACTGCATCTCAATACCATCTTCTGATAGCTGATAAGGGCAGAATATAACTCCAGCATTATTTCTAAACAACAAAACAGAATAATATATAAATTTAGTCAAAATAAATTAACAAGTATTAATAACATCACAAAAAAGCTCCTCTAAGTACAAATACTCTGGCAGTCTTTGCACCAATTCCACTGGCACATCCTACATTTTTTCCTCATCAAGATCATTCATTGAAATTTGAAACTTTGTGTTATAGTAAGCGCAGAACATAGACATGAATCAAGATCAAACACATTGATAATAAGGGGAATCTGAGCATCGGGGCAGACCAGACCAAAATATCAAGATCAAATGTCGTTGTAGCTAAAGTAAGGGTAGGGGTTGACGACGAAGGGGTTTTTTGTTTGCTGGTGGAACTAAGCATCGGGATGAAGATCGCCTTGTTGTAGCTGCGGCGGAAGCGGTCGGAGGAGGGGAGCTCGGAGGCGGAGAGGATGTCGAGGGAGTGGGGGTGGATACACGGATCTGAGGGTGGCCGGCGGAGGAGAGGGCGGACTTGATGGAGCGCATGGCAGGGATGATCGAGGTGGGCGATGAGGTTCCTGTCGGTGGTGGCTATGATTTCGTTGCCGACGAGGAGGAGGGTTATGTTCGTGGTAGGGAGGAAGGGGAGCACATTGGACTGGATCTAGGAGGCGACACCAGAGGAGGTGGCGAGGGAGGGGATAGCGCCGTTGGGGGCGGTGATGGCGACAGAGATCCCGGTGCCGACGAAGGCGCGGATGAAGTCAGGGTTGCAGTCAAAGAGCTTGACGTGGTTGATGAAGGTGCCAGACTTGAGGAAGGTGGTGCCCTTAATTTAGGGGGTACTATTGGGGAAGGGATTGGTTCTTCTCCAATGGTTCCCCTTAAAACCCCCATATCCCTTAATTAATTATATTTAGTTTTTTAATTTTATGAATTAAGATTTAATTAAATATGTAGTTTATTTATAAATGAATAAATAATTAAATATTAATAACTAAAAATAATTAATTAATTAATTAATCTAAATTAAGAAATTACTTTATATAATCATTAAATTAATTAATTAAATTAAAATTTAACAAATAATTAATTTAGATAATAATTAATTTATATAAATCGTGTTAAAAGTTAAATATTATTTTAAATTTAAATTCATATTATTTTAATATTAATTTTATTTAACAATAATATCTCAACGGTCATATTTCAACGGTCATATTCTAACGGTCATATTTCAACGGTCATATTTTAACGGTCGTATTTCAACGGTCGTTTTTTAATTAAATGTGGTCACTCCTTCTATAAATAGCACTACCAGTGTCCTTCATTTTCACTAAATTCAAATTCATTCAATTTTTTTAACTCAATCTTCAATATTATTTATGGCTAGTAATTTGTTACGTGCCTTGCTACAAGAGGAAGAGGATGACGACGATGATGATTACGCGACCTTATTAGCAATCGCATCTTTGGAAGAACACCACTCCAGCGAAGGTCAAAGTTCTCGTCGTCGTGGTTCCATTCCAGGGCACGCTGTAATTCAACGCAATAGAGCTGAAGGTCACGAGAGGCTTTTTCATGATTATTTTAGTGAATCTCCTGTGTATCCAGCAAAACTATTTCGAAGGAGGTTTCGTATGCATCGCCCACTATTTTTGCGTATTTTATCCGCAGTGGAAACACATGATTCCTACTTTGTCCAGAAACGGGATGCTGCTGGGAAAATTGGTTTATCCTCACTACAGAAAGTAACTGCTGCTATGAGGATGCTTGCTTATGGAGTATCAGCAGATTCTGTGGATGATTACGTGCGGATTGGAGAAAGCACCGCTATAGAGAGTCTCGGCAGGTTTACCAAAGCAATTGTTGCAATTTTCGGTGATGAGTATCTAAGGTCACCAACTGACGAGGACACTGCAAGATTGCTTGCAATTGGCAAACAACGGGGATTTCCTGGGATGTTAGGAAGCATTGACTGCATGCATTGGAGATGGAAGAATTGTCCGGCTGCGTATCATGGTATGTATACTGGTCACAACCACACTCCTACAATAATTTTAGAAGCTGTTGCTTCCTATGATCTTTGGATTTGGCATGCTTATTTTGGTTTACCGGGAGCTCTTAATGACATTAATGTGTTAGAACGGTCTTCCGTTTTTTCTCAACTTGCTGAAGGGCATGGTCCGACTGTTAATTATACAGTCAATGGTCATGAATACACGATGGGATACTACCTTGCTGATGGTATATATCCGTCATGGGCAACATTTGTTAAAACAATTTCTTTACCACAAGGAAATAAAAGAAAACATTTTGCTACACTTCAAGAGTCGGCAAGAAAGGATGTAGAGCGAGCATTCGGGGTACTCCAATCACGCTTTGCAATTGTGCGTGGACCAGCTCGCTCTTGGGATGAGAAAATATTGAAAAATATTATGCAAGCATGCATAATAATGCATAACATGATTGTTGAAGATGAAAGAAATGATGATTATATCGACTTTACGTACGATGCTACTGAGAAGGCTCCAACTATATCAGTGTCTCACGAACGTACAATAGATTTGTGTGAATTTATTCAGAATCATCATCGCATTAGAGACAGACAAACTCATTCTCAATTGCAATTGGATCTTGTCGAACATTTATGGGAACGAAATGGTGGGCTTTAGTAAGGGATTTGTATGCTGATGTAATATTAATGTCATTTAATTTAGTGTTGCAAGTAAAGACCTGTTAGTTGATGTAATATTGATGTTATTGAATTTCTATATTAATATGTGATCATATTTGATTTTTGAGAAAAGTTTCCATTTGCATAAATAGAACTTCATAAAATCTTCAAATACGATACATCATCTTCAAGTACGATACAACAAGAGTAAATTGAAATACATAAGAGCACACTAAATATGATACATCATCTTCAAGTACGATACAACAAGAGTAAATTGAAATACATAAGAGCACACTAAATATGATACATCATCTTCAAGTACGATACACCATCTTCCTTCTAATTTGAACTACCACCACCAAATTGCCTTTCAAGAATTTCCATCTTCAACTTATTGTAATACTCTACTTGCAATGGAGGCATGCCATCAGTGTTAATTGCCATAATCCTCTCATCTTGTTTCATAGCTTTCAATCGCATTTTTTCCTTTTTGATATTTTGAGCTTCTTGAGCGACCTGTAGTCTAGCTTGCTCTATCTTTATGCGCTCTTGCTCCTGAACATAAATTTGACCAAATAATTCTGCTCTCTTTATTTCTTTTTCTTTCCGATCCTGCTTCATTTCATCAATAAACAACATCACTGGTGTAATTTCAGAAGCCACATGCTTGTCTTTACCTTGTTTCAACCTTTCTTTTGCAGCCTTTCTTCCTATGGGCCTTGACGAACCCTCAGTAGGACATTCGTCTTCTCTACAATTTATTGAATCTGGAGTTGCATGAGAAGATGTAGCAGGACTTGAATTTTTTGACCTCTTAGATTTTTTCATTGAAAATTGGCCAAGCCACTTTGGATGGAACCTTAACTCATTCCAACAATGTAAAAATTGAAAACTTGCTCCTTGCATGCTTTGAAACATTTGCATCGCTTCCATAATCTAATTAAAAAATAAAATAAATTTACTAACATGTAAAAAGTAAAACAATTAATAAATTATATAAATCTAATCAGTTTAAATAATTTGAAGCCACAATTAGTACCTTGTCATTCTCTGTCACGCCACTTTGATTTCTTGCTTCAATTTGATTAAAACACCCACAAAATTTACTAACTGCAATTTGAATAGCGGACCAACGGTGCTCTAACCCTTTTTGATCACGATCGCTACTGAATGTTTTGTTTTCATGATAGTAAGTTGCTACTCGGTGCCAAAATGTGGAATATTTTTGCAATGTCCCTTGCACTGGATCAATGCTAGTGTTGATCCATGCAGATACAAGCAAGGTGTCTTCTTCGATCCGATATTTTGATTTTCGCATCGACTTCTTTTGCAATGGTACATCTTTTACCGTATTTTCTTCGGGTATGTCCGGCTGAAATGATTGCTCTTCATATTGATCTTCCCATGGATAATGACTAGTCATCAAACTGACATAATATGGATTATTATTTTCTGCCATCTACATCAGTATAAATCTTACATGAGTATGATTTAATTAAAATTCTCAAATTGTTAAAAATATAAGAAACATGAAGTGCAATTATAATTAAACAAAAAATATAACCTACCTTAAATTGTAGTATATATGATGAAATAGAGGTAGAAATAATGAAAGAGTGAAGTGTGAAAGTGAACATCAGGGTAGTGCCTTATTTATAGGGTAAAAATTAATTAGATAGTTTTAAAAAAATTTAGCTATTCTAGCTAAAAAACAAAAAAAAAGCCTATACTAGAAAAATAGCCTAGACTAGGAAAAAAGCCTATACAAGAAAACACCCTATACTGTAAAGACAAAACCTATAATTAAAAAAGCCTATACTAGAAAAACAACCTACACTAGAAAAAAGCATATACTAGAAACACACCCTATACCACAAAAACAACCTATAATTAAAAAAATCCTATACTAGAAGAACAGCCTATATTAGAAAAAAAAACCTATACTAGAAAAACACTTTGTACTAGAAAAAACAACCTATAATTAATAAAAAATATTAATAAAAAATTATAAGAGGTACATTTTAAAAAATATTAATCAAATTAAATTAACTATACATTAATTTAATTATATTATTTTAAATTAACTATATATTAACTAAATTTAATAACACATAAATTAACACTAAAAAAATAAAATATTATTATAAAATTATAAGGGGAAGGTTAAGGGACTTTAACCTTCCCCTTAATCTAGGGAGAAAGTTTAGGGACTTGGGGTGTAGGGGGAACTTTTCCGGTCCATTGGAGACCATGTCCCTTAAAAACCCCTTAATTTAGCTAAGGGGCCGGATTTTTCCGGCCCCTTGGAGATGCTCT